GACTTAGAACTCTGCCTGGGGCCGTCAGGTAGCGCTTTAAACATCTCGTCAGGCACTTCCGGTCTGGAGTTTTCCGCTGAGCACTGTAACCATTCTGGTCCCCATCGGGACCTGTTCACCCGCCTGAAGGGCATGTGGTTTGCTGGGACAGTTCCATGGCCCTCGCGTGCACATGAAGTCACCAGTGTCCCCACTGTGTCACCTGGCTCAACTAGAAGGTTGCCGGTCTGCCTGTCAGACTGGGGTCCATGGCGGGGTGGCGGGGGGGGGGACCCTCTGGCCCCACCCACCTCTCCTCCCCTGAGGCTGTAAACGTTTTCCATTTTCAGAAGGACCTAACATCCTCGCTTGACACTTCCTGAAGGAAGTGGGTTTGGGTCGTTCGCAATATAAAATCGACACTTGCAGCTCTGGTGAGTTACAACATAGGGCCAGAAGCCCGGAGATCAAAGTTCCTTTTACGTGTGGCGGAGAAATACATTGCACAAGTGATGGATGCAAAAAAATATATATATGTACTGACAGTTGCCATCATGAGGACGTGCTGGGAATGCCCATCGCTGCAGAGGGCGCCTCCTCTTATGCTAAAGTAGGACCCGTCCTCAGACGCCGGGAAAGAATCTTCTAACCCAGACCAGACAAACTTCTGCCTGTGGTCGCCGAGGCTGTGAGGTCCGCGGGCGGTGAGGGGGCCCCCTTCCTGACCGCAATGCAGAGCTGAGTGCGACAGGGGCCGCCGCCCACAGACACGAAGACGCTTACTCTCTGGCCATTTCCAGAAAGGTTTTGCGTCCCGTTCTTAAACCAAACTGTCCGGTCCTCGCTGGGCCCCTGGGTGCTAGGAGTTTTGTCTACAGAGCTCCCGAGAGCACGGGGGTGCCCGGGAGGGCGGCAGATCAGAAAAGGGTGAGGGGCCTGGGCTTCCGCATCAGAGCCCCCGACGTCGGCACCAGAACTGGCCCGCGGGCGTGCGCCGGAGCGGGACTTTGTTCCGGGGGCGGCGGCCATGGTTCCTTCTCCGCCGGGACGCAGCGTGTGGAAGTGTCTTCGTTTGGATGGAAGCTCCTGAGACAACAGGACCTGGTCCGCACCAGACGCCACACGCGCCCGCCACCGGCCAGCGGCCTCCTGCCGCCTGCGGTCACCGCCGCAGGAGACTTCGCGAGTTTTCTGTTTTTCTTCAGAGGGTCCCGGGGAAACTGTGGCTGCACATTACGTGGACAGGAAGAGGCTGTTCCATTTTTTGCCCCTGAAGGTGTCATTTAGCAGATATTTACAGCAGTATCTCCAGGGGGCACCACGCTGCCACCTGCCCGGGCACACAGCCACTAAGCTGCCGAGAGCGCTCAGCTCAGCAGCTCCACGCTCCACGCTGCCGCCTGAAGAAGGCGCTAGCACTTCACCCCGGGAAGCAAACAGGGACGAACAGCCACACAGGTCACTTGGAAGAGATGGAACCAGCCTTGGGGCCAGAGACTGTGGTGGCTTTACAAAGAGCTCGTCGCAACAGGCAGATTTGACGTGCACTAACAGTAGGAGCTCTGACCAAGCCTCTTGCCTGTCCCGGTACCACAGCTTTTCAGCCTGGAGTAGCTGAAAACCCGACCGAAGCCGAGCTGGACCCGGGAGGGAAGTCGGTGGCTCATCCCGTCAAGCGTCTAGAGGCGGGCGGGCCGCGGGCTTCGTGCCGCAGCCAAGGCGGCGTGGACACCCGGGTCTTGGGCTCCTGCTTGCTCTCGGCTCCGCGTCCCATGGTGGGCGTTTCTCGCCAGCCCCTCCCAACCCTGCATGCACCCCCGTTCAGGCCCAGGAAGGAAGGACTGATCCAAGCCTCCGAAAAAGCAACCCCAAGTCCCAGAACTGCACATGGCTGGGGGGAGGGATAGGAGTGTGACGGGTGGGGTGTTCGGGGTGGCAGCGGCCGGTGGGAGCAGCCCTGGGTCTGGGGTGTGTGCATGGCACTCAGGTGGGGACATTCGGGGTCTTAGGGAGGGGGAGCACGGGAATGTGAGATCATGGGATTGGAGGCAGTGAATATCACCGTGACAGCTATGCTGCGAAGCCTCATAAATAAAGGAAAGGCGCAGAGCAGACCGCCGTGAGCTTTCGAAGGTTCGGGGGGCGACCAGTGGGCATTGCAGGAGCAAGGATTACTGTTGGGGGAATTCCAACCGGAAGCTTTCCATAGAAATCCCAGCATCGGCAGAGCAGGCGCCAGAGAGGAGCACGCATGCCCAGTGCCGACCGCCCGGAGCTGAGCAGGGCCTGGGCGAGCCTGTCCCCTGCGAACGTTATGTGAGCTCATGTGCCGCTAAGAATTTTCTAGTCGTCCGTCCCGTTAAACAAAGCAGAAGGAAACAGATGACTTGACTTTTAACGGTGTAGTCTCTTTAATTCGATCTATCCCAATGTTTTGACATGTCATCGGCATGAAAATAATTGACGTGCCGTGTGTGGATTTTACACTTGGCGCGTGTGTCTTCGGCCACGTCTCAGGGGCTCGGTGACTCGGTTCTCCTCGCGGGACAGCACGGGACTGGCCGGCAGAGGGGCTTTCTCTCCAGGCTGCTGTCGGGCTCGCCCCCGCCTTCGCGGACGCTGTTCGTCTGGTCTCAGCCGACGTTGGATTCTGAGACCCTGACCTGTCGCTTTGCCTGCTCTGCGTTCTTTTAAGAAGAGCGATTTCGCCACAGTCTTCCCTGAAGCGCCGGGATCCCGTTCGAAGTGCGTTAAAGCAGTAGACGTCCTCCGCAGCTCACGCGGCGCCCACGGAGGTGCCATCGAGGTGGCGCCGAGCCCTGCGGGTGTGTCGCTATCGTCTCTCCTGTCTCGTCCGCAGAAGGGACGTGGCCTGGCGGCGTGTCCAGCCGACCCTTCCAGGCCCGGGCCCAGGCTTCGCCTGAGCGTTCACACGAGGGCCTGCGGCGTTGGACTCCGAGACCCGCGTTCTTTCTTCTACGCGTCAGAAATTCTCGAACTGTTCCCCAGCGCGGCTGACGTCAACACTGCACATCGGCGCCCCCCATTGGGACGGGGGTGGAGTCGCCGGCCTGAGGCACGCGTCCCGAGGCGCCCACAGGCTTATCGGACTGCATGACAGGCACTTAAAAACAAACTCCGGGTGTCATCCATAGTTAGGGGACGGAGGAAGACGTGGGATCGAGGCAGTAGGGACACAGCTGTCTGCTTGAGCAGAGGCCACTGAGAAATGCCAGCGCGTGCCCCGTGCCCCCAGCTCACCAGCACCCCCTGCCCCAGCCCTTGCTCCTGCCGGCCTCGGGCCCAGCCACGGTCCCGGGCGTCTGCGACTGGCGGGTGGGCGGTCATTGTCCCCGACCACGGGCCCTGTCCTGTGTTGTAGGCCAGTCGCCTCTACAGGACGACGCGGAGTGTCCCTGTCGTGAACCTCTCGATGTAGATCATCTTGCGCTCTGAGGCCGTGCTCAGTGTCCCCACACCCATCTTTCTCTCTCTCCATTTCTGTTTTGATAAAGGGACCATCTAGAAGCCGCGGGCCACGCGTGTGTCCTGAGAGACGCCTCTGACTTCGACAGCCAGCCGGACGTCGCCGACTTCATCCAGGCCGTGGGCGCGGAGGCGGCGCTGGCCCTCCACCTCTACCGAGGGGGCCGGCTTCTGCGAGGTAGCCCTTCCTGCCCCGGGCGGGCCTCGGGGGTGACCGCGGAGGCGCTGCCAGCACCGTCCTGGGAACAGCTCCCCGTTTCTCCCGTCCCAGGAGGGGGCGGGGCGCAGCCGTCTTTGGTTCTAGCTACTCTCCCTGGTCCTTTTCCAAGCTGGCGGAAGCGCCCGTCGAGCATGGGTCGACGTGGAAGCTGTTTTCACAGCACGCAGAGGAGCGTCGTCTGAACGTTTTGGGTGCGCGTTTCCCAGCTCAGAGCACCGTTCTCAGGAGTTAAAAATGGCAATTTTTGCAGAGTCGAGGACGGGCCGCTGTGAGGGGTTCCTCTGCCCTGACTTGTGAACGGGGGGCGGGGAGGCGCTAGGCTGCGACAGCCAGTTTAAGGAGCACGGCGACTGAGCGAAGGAGATCGGGTCCGGTTGCCAGGTTCCCAGCATGGGGCTCTCTTTCTGCTGGTCTCCCGGGAAGCAGCCGGGGGGACAGACAGACGTAGACTAAGGATTAGTCTCACGGGCTGTGGAGGCCACGACGTCCATGGTGGGCCATCAGCAGGCGGGACCCAGGAGAGCGGCGGGGAGTAACTCAGTCTGAGTCCAGACCCGAGGACCAGGGGTGACAGCGCAGGTCCGGCCCGAGGACCAGGGGCGCTGATCCCCACTGTCCTGGGGCAGGAGGCGATGGCCGTCTCAGCTCACACGGACCGAGTTAGCCCGTGCTCTGCCATTTGTCCCGTCCCCCAGCGGGATCTGCGAGGCCGCCCTGTGTAGGCCGGGGCGGCCTTCACTCACCCGCCCGTGCAAACGCTGGTCTCGCCGAGACGCCGTCACAGAGACGCGCACAGTTAATGTTTGGCCAGCTCCCCGGGCGTCACTGAGCCCAGTCAAGTTGACAGCTGACATCGGCCGTCATAACTCCATCAGGCACAAAGCCGCACAGTATTTAAGGTATCTGTACCATAGGGAGCGAGATCGAACAGCAATCCTGCTCCTAGAAAATTAACGCTCCCGCTGTGCAGTGTCACCAGAAAAGACTTCTTCGCCGTCTTTTACCAGGGAAGGGGTTCCCTGGTGGCAGTGGGTGTTGGAGTGGTACCCTACCGCCGCCGTGACAGGTCACCACATCACGGGGGCCTGAGAGAACACAGGTCTCTTATCCGACGCTGCTGGACGTCAGGCAGGAAACTGGCCCTCGCTGGCCTAGAGTCAGGCGTGGGCAGGGCCACATCTCTCCGGGGAGGTTCCGGGGGCGAATGCGCCCCCTGACTGTCCCCACCTCTGGAGGTGCCCCTCCATCCCGTCTTCAAAGCCAGCAGCGGGGGTGGCATCCTCACCTGCCTCAGGCTGCCGCGCACCTTGCCCTCCCTGTCCCCATGTGGGGGCCGTGTGATTTCCCTGGGCCGCCGCGATCACCCAGGACAGTCGCCCCCACGTTCAGGCTAGCTGACTAGCGGCCTCGGTGCTCTCTAGCTTAATTTCCCTTCCCCCCAAACATATACTTAGGTTCCCGGAAGTAGGCACGGACATCCTTGGCGGCCATCATTCCAGCTACCACAGGCCCCCCTCCAGCCCCAAAGGCCCGCCCCACACGCCGAAATCGGTCCCCTCATCTCAGCGCCCCGCATCTGATCGCGCTGCAGGACGTGTGCTTCTCTGTGTCCGTGTCTATGTGGAAAAGGCTGTACCGTGAGAAACGTGTGAACAGCACGACACGTCACAGAGCGAACCCAGCTCCTGCCTCACCTCAGACCTGAGATCTCCCGGGTCCCGACTCCAGAGGCAGGACGGCAGGTGTGTGTGCGTGTGCGGGCGTGCGTGTGCGTGCGCGTGCGTGCGTGTGCGTGCGCGTGCGTGTGCACTTTCACGGATGCTGCGTGCATCTAGAAATGTAGGTTTACCCTTTTTTACACACACAGACCGTGTTAACCGACACGCACTTGATTTTCCACTTAACAGTAGACTGTGTCCCTCTCCCCGTGTGAGTGTGTGCACACACACGCGCACTTACCTCTTTAACGAACGTGCTGGTTTGAGCAGCGTTCACGTGAGCTGTTTGTCTCCTGCTGTTCCCAGCAGCCTCGCTGCATGGACTGTGTGACTGTGCTTGCTGTCTAGACACTGAATTCTTAGCAGTGGAAGTCCAAGGTGAGGGCCACCTTACCAGAGGACAAAAGGGAAGAATCTGATCATTTGCACGACAAAAACAACTCCAAGGCTAAGCAGAGAAAAGTTAGGTCCCTTTTCACTGAAATATTGAATCTCCGTGGGGGTGGCAGAAGCCCCAGCGGGAGCTCAAGTTACCGCTGGCCGTTGGGCTGCAGGCCCCCATCCCTGTTTTGAAATTTTCAGTTGACCTTTAGAAGTCCTTGATGGGAGTCTTGTCTGATGGGGGTGTCATTTAAGTAGACCTTGGCGTGCTGGGTGCCTCGCCCATCCCTGCCCACGGGATGTCCCGTGCCCAAGTCAGGGCAAGTACATGCCCACGC